ATATATATATATATATATATATATATATATATATATACGGCACCACCATAAAAAACATAGAGTATATTTTTTTTTAAAAAAACTCGCTATTTTTCGAAGTCAGTGTTTGATTATGAAATTTTTAATTTTTAGTTGAAGATAAATTTTAGAATTTTTCGAAAATTTAAAAAGCTGTAAAAAGTTAATTTTTGAAAATTTTCACTTCAAAGCACTCACAAAATTTTAAAAACAATCCAAAATTGTATTTATGTCGAAATACAACTCTAATTATTAAATAACATTATGACTTGAAATTTTTTTCACTTTTTTTCCGGATGTTTACAATTCTTATGTCCAAACAACAACTTAGTTCCGCAACTAATGTTTAGTTTATGTCACTATTGTTTTAGTTTGTTATTAAAAAGAATACTAATATATTTTCATATGAATATACTTTCAGTATGCATAAAAAATGTTTCTTTCTCCCTTAAACTACCTGCTAATCAGATACCTCAAAATATAAAATGAATCAAAGAGAAAACTTTAGGGCTGTCCACAAGGCAGTATCTACCTCTGTTCAAGCTCTCGCACTTGGCCTGTGACTCCTTGCTGCCCGCCATTGCCTTTGAACATTCAGGTTTCACAAATTTAACTTCAACATTTTAAGCTTTTGAAGTTAATTTTTTTTTGAAGCTGGTGATTTTTAGGTATTTTTTTTATTCACTTGCTATTATCCGAATGTTAAGGTGTCCTTTCGACGAAGTTCTTGCAAAAAATTGATAGATTTTTCGCATAACATTTCATAAACTTAAAAAACAACTAGAAATTCACTCTTTGCAAGAAGTGGTGTTGAACAAATGCCTCCTAAATTTGGTGAATTTTTAGGCTTCAGGAAGTTGATTGGTTACTGTTTCTGGGTATACAAGGTGAGTTTTTTAATTAAAAAAAGGTGAGTTTGAGTCTTGAAATGTAACATAATATTGCTGTTTGTTGCAGCTTGTTCTGGTAAGGAAAAAAGATGGTCTTTTTAATGCTATGTTGTTTACAAAGTTTGGTGCCCATCTTTAGAAGGGAAAAAGAAATCAAATATATTAGGTGTTAGATCTGATGGGCATCAGATTGATAGGAATTGAGGTTTTCAAGGGTCAATGGGAAATAATCACTCATACCATCAACAACACCCCCCCCTTATTTTTTGGTTAAGTAAAGCCACATCGTTCTTGTGCAATGAGAGAATGTCGTTTGAGATGGTCCACGTGTTACGTAGACCTCCAGATGCATCACCTCTTAGATGTGAAAACATGATAATTAAAGTTGCTAAACGAGGAAGACATAGACTTAAAATCACATGTAGAGGATAAAATGATAGAATGTCACTTGCCACGTGTTAGATAGGCTTCTAGATGCACCAGTTCTTAGAATGAATACATGATGATTGAACGAGCTAAAAGAGGAAATAGACCTAAAATCACATGAAAATATGTTAACTCAAAAGACGTAGAAATCTCGGAATCCAAGCAAATCTAGAAAAAGATAGAAAACAATGGAAGTTGAAAATCCGTATAGGTAGTACTAACTAAAATATTAGTGCTTACTAGAAGACTCTTAGTATATTAGTGATATAACCACTAGAGAATCCCTAGTGTTAGATAATCCTCAAGTCTGGAGTATTTTTTTTTTTTTTGATAAGGTAAGTTGCTTTATTGAAAAGCATCAAGTAGATGCAATGATTACAAAAATAAATATGCTAACTCCATTACAAGATGTTATGATGGGATCTTGGAGCTAGCCACTAACAAGAAAATAAGTAGTTTACTGCCTGTTGCTTTTAATTTAAAAGTACGAAAAATGTCCAAATATGCCCTTGTACTATACGAAATTGAGCACATTTGCCCTTTGTTAATACTTTAGCCCATATATGCCCTTACCGTACACAAGGCAGTGTGTACCCTGTTGGAGCTCTCGCACTTGGCCTATACATCCCTGCTCACCATTGATTTGAACATTCGGGTTTGACAAATTTGACTACAACATTTAGCTTTCGAAGTCTTTTTTGTCAAGCTGTTGATTTTTGGGTATTATTTATCTTCCTATTATGCAAATGTTGGAGGTCTTATGCATACCAATTTCTCTTCAATCCTACATTTTTTGCAAAGATTTCATAAACTTTGAAACGAAGTACTATGTTTTTTTTTTAAAAACCATTCTTTGCCAGGATTGTGTAGTCAGTGCAAGACCATCCTGTGTGGATCTCACACCCACAACTATGTCGTGTCGACATGGGTGCGCCAGGGATTTTGAAGAGTCCGCACAACATAGCTCCCAACCCCTTTTCTTGAGTTTGTGTCCACAAAATGTTCAAAGATAAAGGATTTTAGGCTTCTCGAAGTTGACTGGTTACTTTTTCTTGGGTTTAGAAAGAGAGTTTGAGTTTTGAAATTGTAGCATATTCTTCTGGTGAGGAAAAAAGATGGTCTTTTTAATGCTATATAAGTTACAAAGTTTGATTCCCATCGCTGAAAGGAAAAAAAATCAGTTATCTTAGTTGTTAGATCTGATAGATATCTTGTTGGGGAGTGATCAATACAGAGGCAGATGTAGTGCTTTAGTTACAGGTTCATCCGAAGCCAGTAACTTTTGCGTAGGCTCTTTATATGTATTAAAATTTTTTCACTAAATAAGTATAAATAATAGAATGCTGAAGTCTATTTGTTTGGACTTTATCTGCCTTTAAGGAAGCTAAACTTATAGAAATTTAGCAAGATCTTGATTGTTCTGGTTTATCAGATAGATATGCTTTGAGACACAAGTGATTTCTTCCCATCCGCCTAAACGTTGGTGGGGAAGGTTACCCGATGGAATTGTAGAGGTGCGAGCAATTTGGCCGGACACCACTGTCACCAGAAAAAAAAGATCGATATGTTCTTTCTATCACATATATTGAGGTTTCAAGAGTCTATGGAATTATGCACTCATACTGTTCCTTTTTTTTGGGGGGTGATAAGTACAGTCAGACTGCTCCTCTTGAATTATTTTTTGGAACTCTTTCTGTTTTAAAGGTTTTTTGGAGACTGCCAGAGAGAATAGCAGTTTTAAGTTTTGGTAGTTTGATAGAAATTTAGTCACAAATATAGGTCTCATATTAGAGACTAATTTCTAGCATGAAGGGTTTTAGTTTGGTGCTTAAAATTGATTAGGTAATTCTATGTGCACTTAAAGGTGGGATATATTTCCTTATTCTTTGGAGTTTTAGCGCCATGCTTTAATTGAATAGCCATTCTAATTTGTGATGGTAATATGGGAACTGAAACAGTTTTTCGTTTTTACAGATGTTAGATTTAATATTTTGTTTTGGGGTTAGTGTCTGAAATAACATTGACTCTTCTGTGCAACTTGATACTTAAAATCAGAAACTCCGAAATTGAGAACTTCGGTCTTGAAGTAAGTAGTTTATTGAGTGTTGCTTTTACTTTCAATTGAATTGGATAATACGAAACAAAAGTAAACTAAATTTTAAATATTTTAAGTGGGTTATGGTAATCTCATCAGGGGGTAGCAGTATACTCGGTCTCCTAACCATGCTTTTTCTCTCTTTCTCCTTCTGCAGAGAAATCGTTTTTGGTGCATTGCAAGAAGAGTATGCTCATGAAGTTGGAGAAGAATCCAAGAAAAGGAAAAAGAGTGCTAGCACCACTGGTTTAGGGGTGACAAAGGGTGATGTTAAAGCCGTTGAGCGTGATTTAATTTCCAACAAATAGAAGCTCTCTTTTGTAGGTATCACTATCAGGAAAGAAAGGGATAAGGAAAAGATGGGAATTAAAGCACCCGGAGAAAGTGAAGATGGTGACATCAAGAGAAAGAAAGAAAGAGCTGGTGGAAAACAGCCTGGGAAGTCCAGTATAGACAGGTGCGAGGATGCTGTTGAAAATATTGTGAAGAAGAAAAATACATTCAAGAATGAGTGGGAGAAAATGCATGATGCACTTGTAGACACCAAAACAATTGCTCATAAAAGTGATAGTGAGACACAGCATAGTGAGATGAAGAGGAAGAGAAGGAAGGAGAAGAGGAAAAAAGAGGATGGACAGGTAGATATTGTGACTGGAGTCAATCAAGGTGATGTTTCAACCATAGTAGAGATAGAAGATAACAAAACAGATGATGCTACTATCAGAAAGAGGAAAAAGAAAAAATTAGGAAGCAATTCTAAAGATCTTTCACATGAAAGGAGTGAAAAAAGAGTGAAATTTTCAGGTGATGTTCAGGTTTTCCCTCCATCTGTTTATCCAAGTGATGAGAAGCATGAAATTAACGAAGAAAAATTACTGTACGGCAAATGGTTCACAAAAGAAGAAGATGAAATTGTCAAAGACGCTGTTTATAGATACATCGAGGTACATAACTTGGGCAAAGAAGGATTGCAAAAGGTTATGAACTGTATATCTCATCCTGAAGTAAGGGGCTGCTGGAAAAAAATAGGGAGTGCTATACCGTACAGACCTTATGGCGCAGTTTATCAGCGTGCACAACGATTATTTCGAAGTGGTGAGAAGCGTAAATATACTGAAGAAGAGTATGAGATGATACGAAAGTTCCATGAAGAACATGGAACCAAGTGGAAGGTCTTGGCCGATGAACTTGGGAGACATTCGAGTCATGTGGGAAATGCATGGAATAGGATAAAACTGGCCAATCAGAAGAAAGGAAATTGGGCTCAGGAGGAAATCCAGACTTTGTTTGATTTGGTAAACGCTGATCTGCTACTGAAGCTCTGTGAAGAGAAGAAATCTAAGCATGGGATGTTACGGGACAATATTAGCTGGAGTAAAGTTAGTGACAAATTGTCCACCAGGAATAGTGTATGTTGCTACGTTAAATGGTACAAACAATTAACATCACCGATGGTGGCCGCAGGTGAATGGGCAAACACTGATGACTATCGCCTAATTGATGCCCTTTTTGAACTGGATCCGTGCTGCATAGAGGACGTGGATTGGGACAATCTTCTTCACCACAGGGATGGAGAGTTATGTCGAAAAAGATGGAAACAGATGGTTCGTCAAATAAGTCAACATGAAAACAAGTCATTTGCTGCACAAGTAGAAGTGTTAGCTAAGAGATACCGTCCTGATTTGGTTGGAGCAAGAGAGGCCTGGGATAGAAAACCACTTGTTCCATGAAGTGTCAGCACGGACGTTTCTATAGAGAGAGATGCTCAAGGAATATGTATTCTGAGGCGGATCCAGGTTTTTAAATGGGGTAATCCTGTACCCCTTTATTTTCCGTTTGAACGTGCCATAAGTATATATTTTAAAATTCATTCAACTATATATAGTTCAAATTGAAGACATTGAGTGCAGGCGTAGCACACTAGATTCGTCACTGTATGGACTATTGTTGTTTACAAACTTCTGCCACTCTTTTTTCCTCTTTTTTTGGGGTCCTTTTCTTTCCTTGTTCTTCTAATGTCCCATCCGCTAAAAACTAGTGATGCCTTTATTAGCAGAGATTCTGGCCTTGCTAAATTTAACAAGGAATACTGTCTCATCCTTGCTAACAGTTAGCAAGGAAATTAGGGAGACTTTTGTTCCTTGCTAATTTTGGTCCCTCATCAATTTGCAGTTTCCTAGTAGTAATTAGAATATTACTTAGTTATTGCTGTCTGTATCTGTAAAACTACACTGCTTGATAACTCTAAGATTGCTGACATGAGATAGATTGAACCCTTGGTGGAGATGATAAAAGAAAACTGAGCCTCTTTTTTTGGTATGTGAGCATTTGAGCTACTTTGCATTAGGCTCATTAGAATTGCCCCTGTAATGCACAATAATGTTCCTACAATTTTGACTTTGCTGTATTTGCACCTTAACTCCACCACCTCTAATCTGCATGTAAGGTCTTAGAAATTAGAATTACAACTAAAGTAAGTAAATAGTTGCAACTAAAGCAAGTAAAGATTTATAGAAGTTAATGGGATAACGAATGACAAAGCCAGTTTCTATTATTATTATTATTTTTTTTTATTTTTGGTTTTCAACTCGGGGTTCGTTATCTATATTGAAGTTTCTACTAATCTGAATTTGTTACGCGTAAAGCCTATTAAAGGGGAAGACGATCTCTGCTAAAAATAATTCATTCCTAAAGCTCTTACATGAGACTTCTAGTTAAGAATGGATAAATTTTTATTCATTCCACCTCAGTTTCTAGAACTCAATAAAACTAACTACGGATGGCTCGTAAAATATACAAGTAATCATCTGTTGGGTTTTGTTGAAAGAAAAAGAGAATTGACTGGTCATTAAATAACTTAGAGCCCATTTGGAGTGAATTTTAAGCCAAAATAGCTTTTAAGTTATAAATTAGGAATTCTATCTTTTGGCTTTTGGCATGTTTTTGTCATTTTAACTTAAAAATAAGTGTTAAACAAGTGTCATTTTAACTTAAAAGCACTTTTTACTTTGAGTTTGGCTAAGCTTGTAAGCTGGTCAAACTAGCTTATAAGTACTTTGCGGCTTATCTACGCGTTTGGTAAAGTTAAACGTGCTTATAAGTCAAAAATAAGCCAAAAGCCAAAAGCTGGTCACCCCCAGCTTATGAATTTTTAGCTTATAAGCACTTTAAGTTTGACCAAGATTTTTACTATTTTATCCTTAAAATATTCCTCTTTGGAACAAAACTATTACATCGATACTCGCTGCCTCAAGTATTTTTACAACCTAACCCCCCTCCCCCCTCTTCAAGTCTGTAATTCTCATTGACTATTTAAGATAAGCAAATTCTCTATTCCTTTTGCATATTTGTATCTATGTGATTGTGTATTAATCTTTGAACTATATGTAATAAATGATGACATATAAAAATTTTGGTGTATTGCTTTCTAAGTGTTGTGGTAATGAAGACAATGTTTGTTTCTCTTCAAAGATTTTATCCTATTTAGGTTTATTTTTTACTAAGAAACCTTTGTCAATTTATTAATTATTATAACTTATGATTATATGCTTATCATAAAATAAATTATATTTATCATAAAAATTATCCTATCTAAGCACAATTGTATTTAAAATAAAATGACAAATAGAATATTTTGTATTTGAATCGATCTAGTATCTAAAATTTTGAATAAATTACGCCCTTATAAGTGTAAACAGTTCTAAGGTTATTTAAGTCATTTTACTAGAAAAAGAGCTTATCAACACTTTTTTTTTATCAAATATTGCAGCAACTTATTATCAATTTCAGCACTTATATCCAAACATGTAACTGCTTATTTATTAAATCAGTTTCAACACTTAGAAGTGCTTTTTAGCACCTAATGTTTATCAGCTACTTTAAATCAGCTAATCCAAACGAGCTCTTTATCCAAACACTACAAAATAACTTAAAAGTTATTTTGTCTTAAAAGCACTTAAAATAAGCCAATCCAGGACTTCGTTGATCGGCTACAACCTCCTTTTTTGGGGGTGAGCGACATGAGGATCCCCAGGACTTCGTTGATCGGTGTAGGGACAGACTGCACAACATGATGATATTGGAGTCCCATGGGGTAGACTTTACTACTTTTCAACTGGAAGGCAGGGCCCATAGATGGTGCCAGTCCTATCTTCTTGGCAGACCAGCAGATTCTCCTCCCATGACTTGGGACAGGTTCATCCGTATCTTCCTGGATAGGTATATTCCACCCTCCCAAAGGGAAGAGTTGTGGTTTCAGTTCGAGCAGCTCCAACAAGGTTAGATGTCAGTGACCGACTATGAGGCGAGATTCTCTGAGTTGTCTTGCCATGCACTTATGACCTACTGATGTAGAGAGAGTACAGAGGTTTGTTGCGGGTTTGCACACTGGTCTTCAGGCCACTATGGCCCGAGAGGTTGAGATAGGGACTTCTTACGAGCTAGTTGTAGAGATAGCCCGGATGATCGAGGGTGTGCGTCAGCGTAGCCGAGAATAGGCTATGAGAGATAAGCGGTTCTGATATTCTGGGGAGTTCAGAGGTGCTCCAGCTGGGGGTAGAGGTCAGTTTGTGAGAGGTCAGTCCAACGGTCCCCCATACCCAGCATTGCCGCCTTCTCGGTGTGTTCCAGTGCGGCCTTATTTCAGTGCTAAGCCAGAGAGTTCCTACTGCTCTCCAGCTATTCAGGGTTCCTCCAGTGGGTATTCGGGTCATCACGGCCAGACTTCAGGTCAACAGGCCACCGTACCGAGAGGTTATTTCGAGTGTGGAGATCACAGTCATGTGCGGAGGTTCTGCTCCAGGCTTCGGGGTAGGGCAGTGCAACAGGGTCAACATCCTATGATTACAACACCAGTTGTTCCACCAGCTGTCCAGCCACCTAGAGGCCAGCCAGGTCAGGTGGGTAGGGGCGTCCTAGAGGTGGAGACCAACCAGGTGGAGGTCAGTCAGGTGGCGCTCCAACTAAGTTCTATGCTTTTCCGGCCAGACCAGATGCAAAGGCCTTAGATACCGTGATCACAAGTATTATTTTTGTCTGCGATAGAGATGCCTCAGTATTATTTGATCCAGGGTCTACGTATTCCTATGTTTCATCTCGGTTTGCTCATTTCCTGGGTGTTTCTCGTGAGTGTTTGGGCACTCCTATTTATGTGTCCACTCTTGTGGGCGATTCTGTTGTTATGGATCGGATATACCGGTCCTGCATTGTTACTTTCTGTGGTGACGAGACTAGAACAGATCTTCTACTGCTTGAGATGATCGACTTTGATATCATCAAGGGCATGGACTGGTTATCTCCATATCATGCCATCCTAGATTTCCATGCCAAGACTGTTACCTTGGCGATGCCAGAGTTGCCTAAATTGGAGTGGAAGGGTTCGTCTGCCAGTGCATCTAGTCGAGTTATTTCATTTCTGAAGGATCGACACATGGTCGAGAAGGGTTGTTTGGCTTATCTGGCCTATATGTTCGGGACACTACTGCAGAGACTCCGGTGATTGATTCATTGCCCGTAGTCCGAGAGTTCTCTGATGTGTTTCCTTCTGATCTTCCAGGCATGCCACCAGATCGTGATATTGATTTCTGTATTGACTTGTCTCCAGGTACCCAGCCTATATCTATCCCACCGTACCGTATGGCTCCAAAAGAGTTGAAGGAACAACTTTAGGAGTTGTTGGCAAATGGGTTCGTCAGGCCGAGTGTGTCGCCTTGGGGTGAACCGATATTATTTGTGAAGAAGAAGGATGGGATTATGCAGATGTGTATTGATTATCGCCAATTGAACAAAGTTACCATTAAGAATAAGTATCCGTTGCCACGTATTGATGATTTGTTTGACCAGTTACAGGGTGCCAGAGTGTTATCTAAGATCGACTTGAGATCGAGATACCATCAGTTGAAGATATGGGATTCAGATATTCTGAAGATTGCTTCCCTGACTAGATATGGCCATTATGAGTTTTTGGTGATGTCCTTCGGTTTGACTAACTCCCAGGCGACGTTTATAGATTTGATGAACATGGTGTTCATGCCACATAATTATTCATTTGTCATTGTCTTCATTGATGACATTTTGATCTACTCGCATAGTATGGAGGAGCATGAGCAGCATTTGAAAGTGGTGCTTTAGACCTTGCGGAAACAAATGTTATATGCTAAGTTATCCAAGTGTGAGTTTTGTGTAGACTCTATAGCATTCTTGAGGCATATTGTATCAGGTGAGGGTATTAAGGTTGATCCCAAAAAAATCCAGGCAGTTCAGAATTGGCATCGTCTCACTTCAGCGACTGAGATTAGGAGGTTATTATCATCGGTTTGTGGAGGGTTTTTCATCTATTGCAACACCTTTGACTAGATTGACCTAAAAGGGTACTCCGTTCCGATGATCCGATGATTATGAGGTGAGGTTTCAGAAGCTCAAGACCACATTGACTTCAGCATCGGTGTTTGTGTTGCCTTCCAGTTCAGGGGTGTATACAATGTATTGCGACGCTTCACGCGTTGGCTTGGGTTATGTATTGATGCAAGAGGGACGAGTTATTGCATATGCTTCATGTCAGCTGAAGCCCCACAAGAAGAATTACCTGGTGCATGACTTGAGTTGGTTGCGATTGTTCACACTCTTAAGATCTCGAGGCATTATCTTTATGGGGTGTCCTATGAGGTTTACACTAATCATCACAACTTGCAGTATTTGTTCAAGCAAAGTGATCTAAATTTGAGGCAGCGCAGGTGGCTTGAGTTACTGAAGGATTATGATATTACGATCCTTTATCATCCGGACAAGGCGAATTTAGTGGTGGATGCCTTGAGCATAAAGGTAGAAAGTATGGGTAGTTTGGCATTCATTTCAGCAGAGGAGAGACCTCTAGCTTTGGACATTTAGTCCTTGGCTAACAGACTTGTGAGTTGGATATTTCAGAGCCCAACCGAGTTCTTGCCCGTGTTGTTGCCCAGCCTTCACTATTTGAGCAGATCAAGGCTCACCAGTTTGATGATCCACACTTGTT